AACTCCATCTTGTTCTGTGTCCTTCACCTTGACCACACCTCCTCCCCTTGAGTAACCCCCGCCCTTCACCTGCCTAACAGGACTCGGACCCCTCCCCAGCCAATCGGCTGAGGCCACAGCCATTACCTCACCAACTGCCCCTAGGCCCCAATAAAACCTTTGTCCTTTTGAAACTCGCTCTCTCTCTCCCGGGTATCTCAATGCTGCGTCGGTGCAGGTAGGGGATTGAGCTCAAGCTAGCTCGAATGAAGACTCTTGCTTTTGCATCGGACTCAGCTCCCTGGTGGTCTTTGAGGATCATGAATTCTGGGCATAACATTTGGGGCTTGGCCCGGGATCCCCAAGACCCCCAAGGGACCCCCGACCCGGAAAGCCTGACTGGCCACAGTTAGTGTCTGTTCGTTCCGTCTTTTCTGTGTGAGCTCATTTCTGAAATTCTGGTAGTGCCCGACGTGGTCTAAGTGGACGCACTGGAGGACCACGGGCCGGGAGTTTCGGAAGACATTCCGATCCTCCCTTCTGGAGGGACTTGGAATCCCCTCATCTGTTTTGGAGGGACGTGGAATCCCCTCAAAGGTCTAAGCTAGCTTTCAGTTTTGCCTCCACGGAGTTGGAAGACTTTCTAAGGGCCCTCTGTTTGTCTGTTTCTGTGTTTCTCTGTTTTGCTCTGTGGACTTACTCGACGGACGTTATGGGACAGACTCAGACTACCCCTCTACCCACCCTCTTGGCTTAAGCCCTTCCTAGCCCCGCTCCCTCCGGAGCCAAAACCCATTCTTGCTTTGCAGGGGACAAAGAAGAAGGAAAACAAAAGTCTTACCCAGACTTCAGCAGCTCTCTACCCTGTCCTACAAGGGGGGACTGAAGAAGAATTAATTTTTCCTCCTCCGTATAACCCCTCTAGGATGCCGAAAACACCATCCTCCCCCTCCAGGGGAGGCAGACGCTGTTCCGAGAGCGGGAGGCGGAAATGCTCCAGGGGGAAGCCGGCCCTTTACCAGACAAAGGGCTCAGAGGGGGCAATCCGCCTCCGCCGCCAACTCCACTATTCTGCCCTGCGAGCCACCGGACCCCCAGACGCGGAGGGGAATCAGCCCCATCACTATTGGCCTTTCGCCACTAGTGACCTCTACAATTGGAAAGCTCAGAATCCTAAGTTTTCCGAAAAACCGGCAGGGCTTATTGATTTATTAGACTCTGTTCTTTTTATCCATCAGCCCACATGGGACGATTGCCAGCAGCTTTTGCAGGTCCTGTTCACGACTGAAGAAAGAGAAAGAATCCTCAATGGGGCCTGGAAACTAGTTCTGGGCACAGACGGGAATCCCACCACCAACCAGGCTCAGATAGATGCCTCCTTCCCCTTAACTCGGCCCCAGTGGGATTTCAACACGGCAGAAGGCAAGGAGAGGCTCCGGGTCTACCGCCAGACTCTAATGGGGGGTCTCCGAATGGCTGCTAGAAAGCCAACCAATTTGGCCAAGGTAGAAAATGTACAACAGGGAAAAGATGAATCTCCGGCTGCCTTTTCAGAACGATCATGGAGGCATTCCGTACCTATACCTCCATGGATCCAGAGGTTCTGGAAAGCAAGGCAGCTCTTATCATGGCCTTTGTAAACCAATCAGCCATAGACATTAGGAGAAAATTACAGAAAATAGATAGACTAGGAGAAAAAAGTCTGCAGGACTTACTGGTGGTAGCCGAAAAGGTATAAAATAACCGGGAGCCTCCTGAGGACAAGCAGGCTCGCGCCATGGCGGCTGCCATCAGTAAGCAGACTCGAGACCTGGCCAGAATACTACTAGCTACCACTGCTGACTTCCCCGAGGAATGAGACCACTGTCTCCGGCAGCTGGCAGACAACGCAAAAAAGGTAAAGGAACCACCAAAGGGGGGAAGCAGAGGCTGCAGAAGGATCAGTGCACACACTGCAAGGAGATAGGGCATTGGGCCCGAGATTGTCTGAAAAGGGCCAGCGGGAAGGGAAGCAAGACTGATCGAGTAAAAGTCCTAGAGCTAGATGAACTAAGTGATTAGGGGAGTCGGGGTTTGGACCCTCTCCCTGAACCCAGGGTAACTCTTAAAGTGGAGGGGACCCCTGTTGACTTCCTTGTCGACACTGGAGCACAACATTCGGTCCTCCGCACCCCACAAGGAAAACTAGCCAGCAAGAAGTCCTGGGTAAAAGGGGCAACTGGTATGAGCCAGTATTCATGGACTACCCAAAGAACAGTAGATTTGGGGACGGGCCGGGTATCCCACTCCTTTACGGTAATACCAGAATGCCCCTACCCGCTGTTAGGACGGGACTTACTGACCAAGATTGGAGCTCAGATAACTTTCAGACAAGGGGGGCCTCAGGTCACCGATGGCAAGGGCCACCCCATCCAGGTCCTGACCATGAAACTGGAGGATGAATACCGCCTCCACCAGGAGGCGCTCCCGAGAGAGGATAATATAGACAGATGGCTACAAGAATTCCCCTCGGTTTGGGCAGACACGGGGGGGGAGGGGGGGGGATAGGACTAGCCACTCACAGGACCCCGGTACTGGTAGAGCTCAAGCCAGGAGAGAGTCCGGTAAGGATCAAACAATACCCCATGTCTCAGGAGGCCTGGAAGGGGATCCAGCCACTCATCCAGAGACTATGAAGCCTAGGGGTACTAGTTACTTGCCAGTCTCCCTGGAACACCCCCCTACTGACGGTCAAAAAGCCTCACACAAATGACTACTGACCAGTACAAGACCTCCGGGAAGTAAATAAGAGGGTCATGGACATACACCCAACTGTTCCCAACCCATATACTCTCTTGAGCTCCTTGGCGCCCTCCAGGGTCTGGTATACTGTATTAGATTTAAAGGACGCCTTCTTCAGTCTGCCGCTGGCACCCCAGAGCCAACCCTTGTTCGCCTTCGAGTGGCATGATCCGGAGGAGGGCTACAGTGGGCAAGTCACCTGGACACAACTACCTCAGGGATTCAAAAATTCGCCCACCATCTTCGATGAGGCACTACACGAGGACCTGGGTGAGTACAGAAGGGAGCACCCTGGCCTCACCCTCCTACAGTATGTAGATGACATCCTGATTGCTGCCAACACGGCCAAAGACTGTGAGCGAGGGACCCAGGACCTGCTGGCTACCCTGGGGGCTTTAGGGTACCGGGCATCTGCGAAGAAGGCTCAGATATGCAGGGAGAGGGTAAGTTACCTGGGATATATCCTGGAGGGCGGACAGCGGCAGTTATCAGATGCCAGAAGAGAAACTGTCCTAAAGATCCCTACTCCCACCTCCCGAAGAGAAGTGAGGGAATTCCTAGGATCAGCCGGCTACTGCCGCCTCTGGGTTCCAGGTTTTGCTGACATCTCCAGGCCCCTATATGAAGCTACCAAAGAGGGGAAAACATTTAAATGGGCTGAAAAAGAAGAAACTGCCTTTAATCAGTAAAAAAAGGCCCTCCTAAGTGCCCCAGCCCTGGGCCTACCAGACATTACGAAGCCCTTCCACCTCTTTGTAGACCAACATAAGGGAATAGCAAAAGGGGTTCTAACTCAAGCCTTAGGCCCTTGGAACCGCCTGGTGGCTTACCTGTCCAAGAAACTAGACTCAGTGGCTGCCAGCTGGCCGCCATGCCTAAGAATTATTGCGGCGACAGCACTCCTAGTCAAGGATGCAGACAAACTGACCCTAGGACAGGAGATCTGGATCACAACCCACATGCCATTGAAGGGGTCCTGAAACAGCCTCCTGATAGATGGATGAGCAACACACGTATGACTCATTACCAGAGCCTCCTACTCAACCCTCCACGAGTGCGGTTCCACCCCAGTGCAGCCCTCAATCCTACAACCCTGCTGCCCGACCCTGACCTAGGTGCTCCACTACGTGACTGTGTGGGAATCCTGGAACAGGTACATGGATTCCGGACGGACCTGACCGACCAGCCCCTCCCCGATGCCGAGGCTACTTGGTTCACTGATGGCAGCAGCTTTGTGCAGGAGGGACACAGGTATGCGGGTGCAGCGGTGGTCACCAAAACGGACACCGTATGGGCGGAGGCTCTACCCTCCAGAACGTCAGCCCAGCGAGCAGAGCTCATCACCCTTACCAAGGCGCTAACGTTGGGAGCTAGAAAACGGCTTAACAACTACCGGACTTGGGAGACCCAGTTTTACCAGACCAGCCCAAATACTCCCAGGAGGAGTTACAGCGGATCAAGAAACTCCCCATGGCCCAGGAGATAAAGGGATGGTGGTATACACCTAACAAGGAGCTCGTGCACCAGACTGGCTCAGAGTTTCAATATTAGAGCTCAGGAATCAATATTCACCAACAGACACCAAAATAGAGCAAGTTGTATCTGCCTGCAAGACCTGCCAACTCACCAACGCGAGGGCCACATCAAATAAAAAAAGAACCAGGCTCAGAGGCACCAGACTGGGAGCCCAATGGGAAGTCGACTTCACTGAAGTCAAACCAGGGAAGTATGGTTATAAATATCTTTTAGTATTTACAGACACCTCTGGCTGGGTGGAGGCATACCCAACCAAGCATGAAACGGCTCAGATGGTGGCTAAGAAGCTACTAGAAGACATCTTACCCAGGTATGATTTTCCTGCCATGGTAGGATCAGACAACGGACCAGCTTTTATCTCACAGGTAACACAGGCAGTAGCCAAGGCGGTGGGGCAAACTGGAAATTACATTGTGCTTATAGGCCCCAGAGCTCAGGACAGGTAGAAAGAATGAATAGAACCCTAAAAGAGACCCTTACCAAATTAACCATGGAGACTGGCGGGGACTGGGTGACTCTCCTACCATACGCCCTTTACCGGGTTAGAAACACTTCTTACACTCTGGGTTTTACACCCTACGAGATCATGTTTGGCAGGCCACCCCCTGTTAATCCCAGCCTTCGAGCTGAACTTACTGCTGAGTTTAAAGATCAAGAACTTTTTCTTTCCTTGAGAGGGCTCCAGAGGGCTCCAGAGGGCACCTCCGTGCCATCTACGAGGCTGGCCCGACCCTGGCACCTCATCAGTACAGGCTGGGAGACTGGGTCTACATCAAGAGGCACCACTGAGAGAACCTCGAGCCCCGCTGCAAAGGACCCTACATCGTGGTGCTGACAACCCCCACAGCTCTCAAAGTAGACGGCATCATGACCTGGGCCCATCACACCCACGTTCAGCCAGCGGACCCCTCCTCAATCCGGAAGGACTTTGTCACACGATGAGCCGTCAATCGGGACCAACACAACCCGCTCAAGCTCACCCACCTAATATTGGTAACTTTGTTAACTCTGCATGTCATTGCTGATGCTGCTGGAGTCCCCATGTCCCCAAAACATCACCTGGCAGATCACAGACAGCAGCTTGGGGACAATACTTAATCAGACCTCCCAGAGCCACCCCAGGGACACTTGGTTCCCAGAACTTTGCGTAAACCTCCAAACTCTGTTCCCCTTGTCACCATAAATGCAGCTGGTCCCACGACTGGGTCCGTAAGCTACATGGAATGAAAGGGCAGGCCTACGCCAGCTGACTCCATCTTGTTCTGTGTCCTTCACCTTGACCACACCTCCTCCCCTTGAGTAACCCCCGCCCTTCACCTGCCTAACAGGACTCGGACCCCTGCCCAGCCAATCGGCTGAGGCCACAGACATTACCTCACCAACTGCCCCTAGGCCCCAATAAAACCTTTGTCCTTTTGAAACTCGCTCTCTCTCTCCCGGGTATCTCAATGCTGCGTCGGTGCAGGTAGGGGACTGAGCTCGAGCTAGCTCGAATAAAGGCTCTTTTGCTTTTGCATCGGACTCGGCTCCCTAGTGGTCTTTGGGGATCACGAATTCTGGGCATAACAGGTATACAGAGAGTCTGAACAATATTAACAACTAATTGGAAGTAATTGACATTTACAGGACACTATACTTTGAAAGAATGAACACACACACACAATCTCAATACACGTGGAACATTTACCAAAACAGAACATGTACTAGCCCAATGAATTCACTTAGATATATTTCAAAGGTTAAATCTTATGAAGTATTCTGTCTTACCATAATAAAATTATATTAGCAAACAATAACAAAGAGGTTTTTGGAGATTAAACGACACATTTCCAAATAATCTATAAATGAAAGAAAAAATCCTAAGGTGAACTAGAAAACATTTATAAAAGAATAATAATGTAAACAAAATACATAAAAATATATGGTATGCAGTGAAAGTGGTATTTGGAGGAAAATTTAGAGATTTTAATGCCTAAATTAACGAAAATAAATGACATACGTTTCTATAATTAAAAACCAACAAAACAGAAAATGAGCAACAAAAAGAAAATTTGCATATAAAAAATCAATCATTGAAAATATTAATTTATAAAGATCTAGCAATGCTAATCAAGAAAAAAGAGTAAACATAAATTATCTATATTAGGAATGCAAGATCTATCACAAAAATCCTACATATATTAAAAGAATAAAAAGAGAATATTAAACATAATTTTCTATTACAATTTTTAAAATGCTTTTGTTTATTTTTGAGAGAGAGGGAGAAACAGAGACAGAGTGCAAGTAGGGGAGGGACAGAGAGAGAGGGAGACACAGAATCCGAAGCAGTCTTCAGGCTCTGAGCTGTCAACACAGAGCCCCACGTGGGGCTCAAACTCATGAACTGTGAGATTATGACTCGAGCCAAAGTTGGGGGCTTAACCAAATGAACCACCTAGGCACCCCTAAAAATAATTTTATGTGAATAAGTCTGATAGAAAAAATAATGCAAATTTTGAAAGTCAACTTAGCAAAACTATTAAATAATTTAATTCAAAACAAAGGTCATCCTATGAATAAAACTCCAAGGTCAGATCATTATACTGTTGAATTCTTAAATGAGCTATTTCTAACCTTTTACACACTTTACAGAAGAGAGTTGATTGTTTCACACTTTATTTTATAAGACCAGCATCATCCTAATACCAATACCTAACAAAGAGAATAAAAGAAAACAAATGACCCGCCAATATTACTTATTAGAATAGACACGTGAATATTCAACAAAATATTAACAAATCAATATAGAAAGAGATGAAAAGAATGATCCATTATGAACAACAAATCATGTTCCCTGAATTACAAAACTGATTCCATATTTGAAAACCAAATTTATTGATTTATTCTGATTGTCAACAGAATAAAAGAGAAAAATTGTGTCATCATACAAAAATGTTCATCTTCACCACTTCTATTCCATATTGAAATGGAGTATTACCTAGTGTGATAAGGCAAGAAAAACATACATTTTTAAAAATTAGAAAGGATGAATGCAAATAATCTCCTTTCCTATAGACAGTGCATTCAGCTAACCAGGTATATCTTAAGGAAGGTAGCAAGGGCAAGACCACAGAATTCAAGGTTAAATACAATAATCAATTTTATTTCTGAAGTCTAGCAAAAAAGAAATCTGAAAATAAAATTTTGAAAAGTCAATAGCATTAAATATATAAACTGTTATAGGAAAAATTAGCTAAATATATGAAAGACCTTTTCACTAAAAATTACTAAACATTGCTAAGAGAAATTAAAGAAAATCTAAATAAACCAAAAGGTACACACAATGCATGGATTGAAGATTTATTATTTTTATGATATTCATTATACTCAAGTTTTTCTATGGCTCCTACAAAATAACAATCCTATAATATCAGCAGATATCAAAACTGACAAATTAATTCTAAAATTTATATGAAAATGCAAAGGACATTTTTTCTTTTAAAAAAAGGACAAAAATTGAAGAACTTACACTACCTGATTTTCAGACTTAGTGTAAAGTTACAAAAAAATAAGACAGTCTCGACTTTGTGTTCCATCAGAATTACAGATCAATTAAACAGTTTAGAAATATATCAGTTAATGATATATAGCCAATAGATTTTTGATAGTGGCTATAAACTAATTCAATGTGGAAAGAATAGTCTTTTCAGAAAGTGGCTCTAGATCAACTGAATCTCTACATTAAAAAATATAAAAAAGACGAAGAACTTCAGTCCCTAACTCCACCATTGTCAAAATTTTGAAATGGATCAATAAGAAAGGAGAAAATCATCACAAACTCGGGGTAGGCAAACACTCTGCATAAACAAGAGATAAATACCACTGTACCACTAAGACTTGGTAATATCCATAAGAGAGTTAAATATATTTCATTCAAATTAAAAACTACTGCTTTTTTAAAGATACAATTATGAAATTAAAAATACAAGCCAAAGAATGGAAGGAAAAAATGTATATATATGTATACATAATACAGTTGATCGTGAACAGCATGGGGGTTATGGGTGTTGACACCCCCCACCCCTCACACAGTCAAAAGTTCATGTATAACTTCTGAAACCTCCAAAACTTAGCTGCTAACAGCCTACTGTTGACCAGAAGTCTTAGAGATAACATAACTAGTCGATTAACACATATTTTGTACGTTAAATTATATACTATATCTTTATATGAAAGTAAGCTAGAGAAAAGAAAATGTTACTGAGAAAATCATGAGGAGAAAATCCATTTGCAGTACTGTACTGAACTTACCCAAAAGAAAAATCTGTATATAAGTTGACCTGCACAGTTCAAACCCCTGCTATTCAATGGTCAACTGTGTATGTATTGAGTTTACCTACAAACACACAAACTCACAGAAAAAGGACTGTACCAATAATTCATAAGAATATTTAAAAAGTCAGTAATAAGGAGACAAATAACCATATAAAACAATGGGTAAAATATTTGAACATACATTTCATTAACAGCATTAAGCACATGCAAATACGTTTAACATCAGTCATCAAAGAAATGTAAATTATATTCACAATAAGATTATTTTTTCACACTAGGATGTTTTTTTTAAACGGCAACTATTTGATAATTTAATGGCAATTTAAAATTAAGCGCTGGCAAGCAGGTCGTATAACTGGAAGATTCATCAATGCTGGGAAGTATTTTAGTAGTTTTAGTCCTAGGTATTTTATACAAGAGTAATTAAAATATAATTTCAAAAAAAAAAAAAGAAGAACCTTAAATTAGAGCCAATCCTAATGTTTATCAACAGGAGAACGGAAAACAAATTGTGGTATATTCTCATAATGGAATATAACTCACCAGTAAGGAATAAACAACAGATAAACGTAGTAATAAGAATGAATGAATCTCAAAACTAGTATACTGTTCAAAAGAAGACACATACAGAAGAGTACAAATAAAATGTTTCCATTTATATGAAGTTCTGGAACAGCCAAAATTAATCAGTAGGGACACAGCTGATAAGTGATTGCCTGAGGTAGGATGGGAGATAGGCAAATATTGCACTGTAAAAAGGAAAAAGAAGCTTTCTGGTATGATGGGAATGTTTTCAAATTTTGATTGGGTGCTGGCTGCACGGGTGCATACATTTGCCAAAATTTATCAAACTATATGATGAGTACATTTAATTTTATGTACATTATGTATTTTATGTATGTTGTTCAACAACAACAATAAGAACAAAACAAAGCAAAAAAAAAAAAAACTAGCGTAGTCTATTATTATTGATTCTAGAAAAAAAAAAATCTTGGGGAGCCTGGGTGGCTTAGTCAGTTAAGCATCTGACCTCAGCTCAGATCATGATCTCACGGTTTGTGGGTTTGAGCCCTGCATTGGGCTCTCTGCTGACAGCTCCAAGCCCGGAGCCTGCTTTGGATTCTGTGTCTCCCTCTCTCTTTGCCCTTCCCTCTTTCTCTGTCTCTCAAGAATAAATAACCATTAAGAAAAATAGAAAAAAAAATCTCTAGCCTCGCTTTTGAACTCCCAACATTAGAGGGATCACTGCATATTATTGCATCATACACTTTTAATATACAATGAAGGACCACTAAATCCTTAAAATGTTAAAATCATCTTTCTATTCAGAGTTTTTAGCAAAGTTGGGATTAAAGTCCAGACTCCTTAATCATTATCTAGTGTCACCTCAATGATATGATGTGGTCCTCCAACAAATTCACATTGTTAAGGATATGGAATAATTTATTATACATGTTACCCATATTTATCAATGGTTCACTATGGTAAGTATTCATGCACTGAAATAGAAATGGGTCGTTGTGGTTTGGTCCATCTCCTTAGTTTATGAAAGAATAAACTGCGCATTTTTTTTATCTTATTTTTGAAAGTTCCCAAATTTGTGAAAACTAAGTAGATTTCTATGGCAAAGAAAACAAATTCCACCTCAAGTATGCAGCATCAGCTTGCGATATGGACAGCTTCCTGACCCATGCTCCTGTGCCAAGGTTGATTCAGGAATAAAGCACCCCAATCATTTCATCTCATAAATCCAGATCCTTATTTTTCTGACTATGCACAAGAAACACATAGACCTCAAAGACAGACAAAATGAGGTAAAAATGACTGAACTGAGAAGATTGCTTTTAAGTACTTTCTACAGAGATGTCACTTCATTTACAGGCCATTAGAAACAATTATCACCTTCTCCCTGAGGAGAACTTTGCTTTTCCTTTTTTCCCCATAACTTGATATTATCTTCCATTTTTGACATAATATTCAGTTTT